GTCATCAAAGACCTCGATGTTAAATTCAGTGGTTAGATTTGGTCTTAAACTTGAATTACCAGCAGATTTTGACATAGTCATCACTCTGTCCTCAAAATACATTCTTTGCTTGGCTTTTAAGATGCTTTTCTTCCCTGGTTTGCTACCTCACTGGTGGTTCTTGTCTGTCATCTCTTTCTGTAAACCAGAACTATACAATGGAAATGTAAGCCACATGTATAGTTTGATTTAGTGTTCTAGGGGCCATAGGTGAAAATAATTTGAATGCTGTATTTTATTTAACTCAGTATATCTAAAATATTAGTGTTTTGGCTGCATACTATTGTGTGAAGAGTACAGTTTTTGAATACTTATTTCTGACAAAGGATGCTGCAATTACTGGACAAAAGTATAATGAGACACAGGATATGTACTTGGTCTCAAAAAATATCTTTCCACCAGATACTTACTAATTACGAAGGGAAAAATGATAGCTTTGTCATGGAGAAACTTGGCGGATAGCACCTTAGTCAAGTGGCCAGAATTATCAGTAATTAGACAGATTGACATGTGCCTACTTATACAGTGTTCTAGGAAGGACATATCACTTCTGTGGTATTCCTATCAAATATGATATAACTTAAGTGTAATCTTGAAGAAACATCAGGCACACCTGTTACTGAGGGATGTGCTACAAAATGTATATTACAAAGTATTGTTCAAAATACACTATTTTGAAGTACTGTTTGAAAAGATACTTCTAAATGTCAGATGCGAAAGTTAAGGACAGAGGAAATGCTCCAGATCAAAGGAGGTTAGAGACATGAATTTCTTTATTTGGTAATTGTACTGTGGTTATGTAAGAGGAAGATTTTGTTTTTAGGAAATCATACTGAAGTATTTAGAAGTAAAGGGGCATCATGGTCTGCAACTTAATCTCAAAGGTTTCATTTTGTCACTATCACAAGTGCTAACCTGTTTGTTAATACTCACAAACTCTGTCTTCTCTCTTGTTAAGGTGAAAGTATTCCTGTTACAGTCTAAGCTCAGCTCCTCCACTTGTGTTGCATTACTAGGCTCTCCTTCACTACTCGCTTACTCTAATCGGCATGTAAACATGCTTTACATTCATTTGAAAGCACCACAGTTTCGTTGATCCCATGGCTCCTTGTATCTACAATCCCATTTCCCAGCTACTCTCCAGGAAGAACTTCTTTAATGATTTGCTTATTCTACTTTTTCTTTCGTTTTCTCTTTATGTACTCCAAATGGTCGTTCTTTACCACCACTATGGAGAACTGGTCTTTACCCATCTTGCTAAATTCAGTGTTTTCACCCCTCCCTCTCCAGCCTGTGAGCATCATTAGACCCAGTTGACACACTGTGAAATACTTTTTTCTCTTTGTCTTCTTAATACCAGTCTTTTGGATTTCTTTCTGCCTCACTGGTAAGTCTAGTTCCTGTGCTTGCATCTCTAATTGCTGGGGTACTCGTGGACTCCCTTCCTCCTCCATAACCGCTCCCTAGGTTGATTTCCTCTACTTATGTGGCATTCACTATCAACTAACTATACACTGATGAAGTCCAAATTTATACCTCTAGCCTTGAGTCCTTCCCTGACTTCTAGTCTCAAGCAAGTGAAATCTGAAATCTCTACTTGGATGACCAAAGAAATTACAAACTTGATATACCCAAAATTGTACTTCATTTCTGTGCTTACTCCTGCTCCTCTCAAATACTGCCTTTTCCCAGGAAATGGTACCATCACCTGCTTAGAACAAAACACTAAAAATGAGGCTTGATTGTACAGTTTACCTCATATCCACATTCAGTTCATCAGCATATCATGTTAGTGCCACCTTTGAAATATATCCTAATTTTTTTTTTTTTTTTTTTTGACCAACTTCTTACTCTTCCCACTGTTGCAATCCCAGTCCAAGTCGTCATCAGCCCTTGCTTGGACTGTTGGTTAGAGTCCAATGTCTGGTCTCCCTAGTTTCACTCTTACTTCTGTCCTCAAGTACACAAATCTTCAAGAGTGATCTTTAATGGTAGCAGTCTGTTTACATGACTCTCTTGCTCTCACTTACCTAGTGACTTAGCTTAAATTCTTATTACTGAGCTTTATATACCCAGGACCTGTGGTGTTCTTCCAGAAAGATAGTTTTCCTAAGACTCTTCTTGGCAAACTTACAGATAAGGTTTATGGATATTTTTGTTTTGTTGTTTTTCCTACACAGTGTTGGTCTGGTTTTTGAAAAATAGGAAGATGAGGCTGGATGTGGTGGCTCATGCCTGTAATCCTAGCACTTTGGGAGGCTGAGATGGGTGGATTTACTTGAACTTAGGAGTTAGAGACCAGTCTGGACAACATGGCAAGACCCCATCTCTACTAAAAA